CTTGTGACCATTATTCCTAGTCAATCCTGGTAGTGCTCGGGGGAACAGGGACTCCCCCAATGCCTGCTGGTCCCCTCTGACTAGTTTGTAACAGGCCACTAGATCCCCCCTCAGCCTTCTCTTGTGGAGGCTAAACAGGTTCAGGTCCCATAGCCTGTCCTCATACTGCCTGCCCTGCTGCCTCCTGATCATGCGAGTGGCCTTCCTCTGGACCCTCTCCTTGTTGTCCATATCCCTCTTGAAGTGCGGCACCCAGGACTGGACGCAGTACTCAAGCCGTGGCCTGACCAGTGCCGCATAGAAGGGGAGTATTACCTCCTTGGAGCTGCTTGAGATGCATTTGTGGATGCATGACAAGGTATGGTTGGCCTTCCTGACTGCATCCCCACACTGCCTGCCCATATTCATCTCGGCATCAGTGATAACTCCAAGATCCTTTTCTGCCTCTGTGCTGATAAGAAGGGAGTTCTCCAGCCTGTAGGTATGCTGCTGGTTCTTCCTCCCCAGGTGCATCACCTTGCACTTTTCAGTGTTGAATCCCATCCTATTCTCGTCCGCCTACCCCTGTAACCTGTCTAGGTCCGATTGTAGCCTATCCCTCCCTTCTAGCGTGCCCACATCCCCCCACATCTTAGTGTCATCAGAAAATTTGAACAGGGTGCTTTTTACCTCCTCGTTCAAGTCACTGAGGAACGTGTTGAACAGTGTGGGCCCAAGGACTGAGCCCTGGGGAACCCCACTGCCCACATCCCTCCAGGTCGAAAATGACCCATCAACCATCACTCTCTTGGTGCGGCCCTCCAGCCAGTTGGTGACCCATTTGACTGTGTAGGTGTCAATCCCTCAGTACTCTAGGGTGGAGATCGTCTGGACCAGCTGATTTGAATACATCCAGTCCCTCCAGAAGTTCTCTAACTAGTTCCTCACTAATCCTTGGCCTAGGTGCACCTCCTCTGGGGTCTAAGGGGGGCCCACAGGGGGGTGGCTGTTGCAGTCCCTGCTCAGAAAAATGGAGGCAAAGAAATCAGTAAATAGGTTAGCTTTGTCTTCTGGTGTGACCACCAAATTTCCGAGCATATCTTGCAGGGGCCCCACGTTACCCGGAACCTTCTTTTTGCCCCCAGGTATTTAAAAAAGGACTTCTTGATGTCCTTGATCTGGGAAGCTAGTCTCAGTTCCATCTCCGCCTTGGCCTTCCTGACTGCCCCCCTACATCCCCGAGCAACTCCATTTTAGCTAGGAGACATTCCCGGATGTTTTTGGTGAGCCATGGGGGGCTTTTGCGCCCTCCTACCCCCTTTGATCCGTGTTGGAATTACTTCCCTTTGGCCTTGGAGGATCGTCTCCTTAAGGAACGACCACTCTTCTTGGACACCTGCCTCCTCTCCCCTCCGGGACCTCAGTGCTTCCCCGACTATTCTCCTTAGCTTATTGAAGTTTGCCCTCCTGAAATCTAGGGCCTTTGCCACCTTGCGCTGGATGGTGAATTCCAGCAGGCAATGATCGCTGTCACCCAGGTGGTCGAGTACCTGCAGCTCCCTCACCAGGTCGTCGCCAGTGGCCAGCACCAGTTCCACCAAGGCGTCTCCCCTGGTGGGGCTGTGCACCTCCTGGGTTAGATGGAGGTCCTGCATTCTGGCTAGGAACCTACGTGAGCGGTCAGATCTGGCTGACTGCTCTTCCCAGCAGATGTCCGGGAAGTTCAGGTCCCCCATGATTACCACATCCTTTGACTTCGCTACCTCCGTGAGCTGACTTAAGAATTCCTGGTCTAGCTCTTCCCCTTGGTTGGGTGGTTTGTAGTAGACCCCCACCATTAAGTCTCTTTCCCCTTGACTGCCTTGTATTCTAACCCAGAGCACTTCAGAGTGCCCCTCCTCTGACTCTTTGCTAATTGATGAGGATGTGTATTCTTCCTTAATGTAGAGCTCCACACCCCCACCTTTCCTCCCTGTCCTATCCCTCCTGTACATCCTATAGCCCTCGATATTCAC